TTATTTATGCAACATGGAGGGACTCGAGGGCAGTCTGTGCTCGAGCAAGTCAGAAGGACGTTGTGGACATTCACGGAGCGGTGACAGGACAAGGTCAACCCCTTACGGCAATTAGTGGACATGAGTAAACTTCGCAAGGCTTGTGCCGTTAAGGGGGAGGGGACGGGGGGAGGTGTCATTATTTCTGAAAACTGTGCTCTAGCGATCTGCAGGGGAAATACTGTACGTGATGCTACGTGGCCTCCGAGTCTTCACTTTCCTCGCTGGCCCTGGGAACTTCCCTTGGGCCCAGGCACCAAGCTGTGAGGGGCCTGGAGGCTTCCAGCCGACCAGAGCAGACCAGCCTGCGCCCATTCTCTGGCCAGCAGAGATAAGAATCCCTGAGCATATTCAATGCCGAGTTCCGGGTAATTTTTTAAAAGTCAATTCTTTTTCTTACACTGCCGTCCATTTTTGTATAATGCTTGATTTCCCCCCTGAGGCATACTCTGCCGCCAGCACAGCACCTGTGAGCCATCACCTGTCCCTTGTGCTCATCCCATCTCTGTCTCGCGCCCCCCCACCCCCGCCCTGCTGTGTGTCTCAGATCTGTGGTTTGTCTGCACATTTTATCTTTTTCCTGATCCTTTGTTAGGTTTCCCTATATTCCCTAGATGTGAGACTGCCTGATATTTTTTTCTTTTTCCTTCTGACTTCTTTCACTCAGCATAATTGTTTGGGGTAATTTGTTACGCGGCCTGATACACTCCACGCTAGTTGATACACTTGGTGGCTGGAAGAAAGGGCATTTTGTGAGGCAGACGGATGTTTCAAGGGGAAGAGGGATGAAGCAGCCTCAGCCCTCCCAGAGGAACTTGGCCAGAAGCTGCTTTCCAGCCCCTGGGCAGGGATTTGGGGAAGGGCGGCTGTCATCCCTGCGGCCCAGACCCCAGACGTGTGTGGACACGAGATCCGCACTGTGTTTGTGTGAGGAATCTCTAGCATAAGCTGGGCCAGAAGTTCACAGTGAGAAGCCACCAGAGTTCAGCACCTCCTGAGTCACAGCATTTCTGTCCACCCAGCATCATGTAGGCTCTGAAGGGCCAGCTGGACCTGTAACAACAGGACGCCAGCTGCAGACACGGTCATAGCTGTGGGATGTGGCCATTAAAAAGTAGGTTCTCCCCATGTTTACTGCTGCTTTATTTATAATAGGAAAGACATGGAATCAACCCAAATGCCCAAAAGTAGATGACTGGATTAAAAAGTTATTATACACAATGGAATATTACTCAGCAATCAAAAAAGACAAACTCATGCCTTTTGCAGTAACATGGATGGAGCTGGAAGGGATCATGCTTAGCGAAATAAACCAGAAGGGAAAATACTGGATGATTTCACTGATAGCAGGAGCATAAAGGACTGGGGTGTGGGGGGGAATAATAATAATAATGAACAACTATATGCGTTTTACGGGGGTTGGGTGGGGATGGGATCAAAAATGGTAGGGAGAAAGTGCACGGGACTATGATGATGGCACATGGTGATTTGGTGATGGGAAGCCCACGGGGATGACAACTGAGATTGAAAAAGGCACAAAATGGTGTAAAAATAAACTATAGTAACTAATAATAAAAGTAGCTTCCTAGATATTTAAGGATGTGGGAAGGTTGTGCTGGAAAGCAGGCAGGTGATTAAGATGGACGCTTCCTCTCGCCCCACCCCACAGGGGGGCGTTAATCATACTTCTCCTTGGGCAGGGGGACTTGGTTGACAGGGTTTCTTTCTTTCACTTTTCTCTATTGTTCAAATGTTTTGTTTTTTTTTTTTTAAAGATTTATTTATTTTTGCATACAGAACTGGGGTACAGGCCAGAGGCTCAGGGGCAGTGAGAGACTTCACCAGAGACAGAGTGCAGAACAGAACAGGCAGATCTACGAAGTACACTGCTGAGGGGAGCAGCGGGCGGGTCAGGAGAGGTCTGCCGCGCCACGTGGATCTCCTTGGGGCAGACGGGGATCGAACTCATGCAGAAGTGGCTTTAGCTTCTCAGTGCTGTGCTTTAACACGCTGCGCCACCAGGGAGGGCCCTATTGTTCAAATGTTTTTAAGGTAAAATGCACTACACTTGGAATTAGGGAAATGTATGTATTTTTTTAAAAAAAAAACTTGGCAGTTGCAATTTAATGTGTGGATTCTGGAGTCCTGCAGAAAGCTTCTCTGGTTGCCGGCCCCTCCAAGGCCCCTCTCCGGAGTTGTGAGTGTGTGAACATGTGACCCTCTTCGACAGCAGACTTCTGCTCCCAAGGGTGCACTGGTCGTTTTGTTGAAAACTGCAGGTTTAAAAATATCTGTATCAGGTGTTTCTGCCCCATCTCCCCCTCAGGATCCTAAGATCCCTGAGCCACCCTGTGTCTCCCCTCCCCCCTTTCCTGTCTAGGGCTGGGCAGCCGGGTGCTAAATTAGGAACCAGTGTGGGGAGCTGCAGTCACGTGGCTGGCTGTGATCTCCCTGCGGGGAGGCCTCCCCCTCCTCCCGCCTACCCCCCTCCTCCCCACAGCTCCGCCCTTTGCTCCTGTTGAGGACCCTGCAAAGCTCCCTACCAGGAGAGCCAGGCCCCAGGGCACCCTCTGGCTGGTGCAGGCAGGTCTTCTGCAGCCTGCATTTCTTCCATGGAACCCTGAAAGCCCTGGTAGAATTTTGGGGTTTCAGGGCCTGCAAAGAAAGCGGCATTCTGGGGGCCCCTCACACAGTAGATGCTAGTAGCACCCTCTTTCAAGCTGGGACAGCCAAAATTCATGGGTATCAGCAAGGGGGCAGCTGGGCAGCAGCCCTCTCTGGACAGATCATCCAGGTTCACCCCAAACCAGAGGAGCGTCTGAAGGCCTGGCTCTCAGAGCCCAGCCTCCGGGCTGTGCTGGAACCACCCACCTTGGGAACTCCTTGAGTGTCCATGGCATGGGTGTGACTGAAACTTGCTGAAATGCTAGCTGTGCAGGTTTCATTCCTTCTCCCCACAACCTGGGAGGGAACTGGCACCTCTTGGTGGAGACCTCCCCTTTCTTATTCGACCCGGGAGGGAACCGGGTCATTTGCCCAGGGCTGCCTGGGGTGGAGGAGGATTTGATCTCAGACACTCCAGCTCCTGGCCACCCCAGCCGCCCCTGCAGCTGCTGGGCCCCTCTGTGGAGCTGGGCCCGGTGTCCTGGTTTTTCTCCCTCTGCTGTGTGGCTGAGTTCCATCGGCACTTTGTTTCCAGACGCAGGGACGGAAGCACCCCGAACCCATTCAGGACAGCCAACTTCGGTTTCCAAAACCACTGGCTCAAAGTGAGGAGGGCAGAAGGCAGATTCTGGGAGTGTGGCGAGGCGGGAGCTAACTGGGCTTTCCTAGCGTGTCCTCAGCCCAGACGCAGGTCCCCACGCTCCCTCGAGGTCCCCCACACCCCATCCTCTGCACCTGCGCCTGCCTCCCTGGACCAGCAGGCTGGCCCATGGTGTCTCAGCTTTGCATTGTTGACATTTTGTTCCAGATCATTCTGTAGAACGTTTAGCGGCATCCTCGAGCACCTCCTTTCCAAGCTGTGACAACCAAAAGTGCCTCCAGAAGTTGGCAAGTATCCCCCGGGGAGCAAGGTGTCCCCCACTGTAGTCACTGGGCTAGTGGCTCTCCCTTTCAGGAGCGCCTCCGACGTCCCCTTCCTTCCTGCCCTCCCGTCTCCCCTCCCCCGCCCCCACCTGTTCCCTGTGGACTGCGTCCTGTGACGAGCAAGCAGATGAGAAGACGCCTGGGCTGTGCCTCCTGCTGGTGGGTGCCCTGTGAGTCTGTGGCCTGGGCCAAGGCACACACAGGCCTGGCCCCTCCCGCCTGGGAGGGCCCAGCCGGGCGCTTGCAGATGGGGCGCCTGGAGCGGAGGAGACCAGGCAGTCCAGGGGAGCCGAAGGAGGGGAGACTGATGCCAGGCCAGGTAAGGAAGGAAAGCAGTTTGGGGAACAGCTCCAGCCTCAGCTCCCTGGTTTGTTTTTGGTGCTTTCCTCTCCCCTTTTGGTAACTACAGCTCTGGTACCCCCATCTCTCGGGACCGGCTTCCCCTGCTCCTGAGAGGGCGCCAACCCCTGAGCCTCCTCCAAGAGGACGTTAGTCTCAATGGAGACCAAGGTCCAGGCTGTCCCCTCTGCAGGGACCAGGCTGGGGAAGGCCTTTCCGGGGCTAACGTCCTCTTGGAGGAGGCTCAGGGGTTGGCGCCCTCTCAGGAGCAGGGGAAGCCGGTGGCTCAGGAGATAGCTCAGAATCTTGATTTTGGGGACGGACGGGGAAGGTGTCATCTGATGCGATGGTCCCCCAGGCCGCAGCTTGGGTTCGACCAGGGAAGGGCTTGGATCAGCCACTCCTCGTGCCTCCCCAGGCCGGAGCTGACCTGCGCCAGGGCCCACTCACAAGGGTGGAAACTGACGGTCGCAGCTGGTGCTGTGATCCGCTGGGGCTGTGTCAGTATCAGCATCTCCCTGACTCAGGGGGCCTCTGTCCCATGTCCTCCTCCCCCCGCCTCCAGGTCCTGGGGATGGTGGTGGCCAGCTGCCCTGGCTGGGGGTGGGCAGTCCAGTCCCCTTTGGCCTCCGGTCAGAGCCACAGTCTCCCGCCCTCCTTAACCGGTGCAAAACTCACTTTTCCCCACTCCCACCCCTCTCTCCAGCCACTCATGTTCTGGAAGGGGAAAGGTGCTGGAGAGCTCAGTTCTTAGCATGTCCATCCCCTGGCTCATCTGTGAAAAGGCGCCTCCCAGAAGCCTACACCCAGCCAGGCGGGGTGCTGGGAGGGCCAAGGACTCAGATTAAACCCAAGAACCAGCCTTGGCCAGCACAGTATCCTCCTCCCTCCCTCCCCCCCACCCCCGCGAGAGGGTCCGCAGCATCCCCCACCCAGGGACCCTGTTTTTACCTTAAGCGTCCACAAAAACTTAAGGGGTGCTCTACTCCTCCCCCCACACCGAAAAGAGAACATTTTAAAAATGCTTTTATTTAATTAAAAAAACAGACAGAACTAACAACCCAAAACCAGTAGTAGATACAGAATTCACAGGTGCTTAACTGGTGAGACACACAGGGGCTGGTGGGAGAGGGGGGGGGCTGGGAGGAGGGCGAGAAGGTGGGTACAGGCCACCACACCCCCCTTGGGCACAAGGCCTCATCAGGTAGAGGGACGCAATGCTCCCTTCCAGACAGGCGCCCCGCCCAGCTGGGACGTGGCCAGGGGGAAGGTGTGAGCTCCCCGCGGGAAAGGCCAGGGGTCTGAGGTGGGTCTGCTCCCGGCTCTTCCGTCCTCTGTCACCTCCCTGTACTTGTTCCTGGTCCCTAGAGTGGGCCCCGTGTGCTCCGCCTGGGGCTGGGCAGGAGGTAGAATTCAGTGGGACTCAGCCTTCTCCACGACTGAGGGAAACTTCTGGGGCCGTGGGCAGGGCGGTGGCTTATGCATGAGGGAGAGACAGCCAGCCTGCTCTGCTTTTGGAAGTAACAAGAGTCTCAGGGCCTTGCTGGGTCCGCAGACCCCCTTTAGCCTGGCAAGACGGTGTTGTGGGGGGCAGGGGGTGAGGGTGGAAGGGAGGGGGGCGGGAAAGGACGGGTGGGCCCACAGCAGGCAGGCCTCGAGCCCTGACACTTCAGCATTCACTGCTGTACATGCTGGACAAACCACCACACAGAGCCCACCTCGCCGGAGGACGGGCATCGAGCAAGCAGACAAGGGCCCACACGCCGCCCATGCAGCTCACCGCTCCACGGGCCGTCTGTCGGAGGCCTTGCAGGCCGACACCCCTCCCGCAGGGGGCCGGGTGGCGATGCCCCCGACCTGGACCTGAGCTCCTGGGGCTCGAGTCCGCCCTGGGCCTCGGTGACCAGGTGGCTGAGGTAAGAACTGGCCGGTCACTTCCCAGGTCAACAGCTACCGGGGTCACAGACGACGGATGGTTCAAGAGTGGATTACGACGTCTCAAAAAGTAAGAAATGAGTTCTCGTTAGAAAGCACGTGTTTTATATAAAAGAGGGGTCCTCCGTCTTCAGAACCTGGACCTGCTTCTGCTTCCTCTGCTTGCTTTGGGGAGGGGTGGAAGCCGCTGGGAAAACGCCAGGCCCGGAACCCACCTCCTTGGTTCCCAAGAGCTGAGACTTGGCTCTCGCCGGGCGGCAGGAAAGCTCATCTCTGCTCTTGATCCGAACTTCCTCCGCTGAGCCCTTTCAGGCGGTGGCTGGCGAATAAATTACGACAATAGGAGCCGGCGAGAGGGTGGCTGCTACTTTTAAGATGAGGAAATGAATGTCACTTGCTCTCCTGGCATCTATTTGCAATAAATCGTGATTAATAACCACCAAGAAATGGGTGTTTGTTCTGTTTTTGTTTTGTTTTGTTTTGTTTTTCCTGTTCACTCTGGGGGCTCCCTGCCTTGCACAGAAGTTTCGGCTCCTGTGGCCACAGGAGAAACAGAGGGGCAGGGGGAGGGACACAGCAAGAGGGTCCCTGTGGCCACCTCCCCTCTGACCCATGCAACATTCCTGACTCTCAAACGCAGTCAGCATGTCCTTGCCGTAGGTTAGAGTGTGAGGCAGAAGCTTCCAGAAGCCGGCAGGAACAGCAACAGACTCTGGCCTTTCCCTCACGCCCAGGGCCTGGGGCCCTCCTCCTCTGTGAGTTCTCCACGGGCCTCAGTGGAGGGTCCAGGGAGGTCGGCCCTAGGACAGCATGAAGCACCAGCTGGCCGCAGGGCTTTCTCCTGGGGATCAGTTATGTGGGCAGCAGGCCACAGCAGGGAGAGACAGGAGGCGCGGTCTCCTCGCCGCAGGCTCACAGACGCGGGAACCTCAGGTGAAAAATCAGCTGGGCGGTGTCCACAGGCCCCGGTGTGCCCGGGGAGCCCTCGGGGGCGCAGCGCCAGCAGGGAGGGGGGGCCGAGAGCCAGCCATCTGGCAAGGTTGGCTTCCAGAGGAGATAATGGCTCACTTTTGTTTTCCGGGGTTGAGGCGGCCGTGCAGCTCAGGGGCGCCTCTGGCCTCCTGGGAGATCAGGGACCCCAGGGGCTTCGAAACACCCCGTGGGGGTAAAGTCATCCTTCCGCTCGCTCCAAGGCAGCCGGGACGTGGCGGAGCCCAGGGAGGTGCGTTTGGCCTCGGCCCCACCGCTGGCCCGTCCCAAGGTTCGGCTGCCCCGGCGTGGGGTCCGACGGGCGTGGGGGAGAGGCCGGCGCCGAGAAGGGGGGCTCACACGGGGGTCGTCCGCGGGTTCAGCATGCTAAGGTGCAGGCCTCCCTTCAGGTCCTGCTGGAAGAAGTCGTGCACCTGCAGGAAGCTGGCCTCCTGGTCGGGGCTGTAGCTGGCGGTGGTCACCTTGAGGGGCTCCCTGGACAGCGTGTACATGGACAGCTCGCCCATGGGGATGGCCCCGGTGAGCTTCAGGCCCACGGGGGACGCGTCCCTGGAGGGCGAGGCCTCGGTGGACCTGGAGCTGGACCGCGAGCGCCGTCGCCGGTACCGGTAGCTGGGCATCCTGGCGTAGGGGGACGACGAGGGCGCCTTGAGGAACTCCCTCTTGGTCTTAAACCTCAGCTCTTTGTTTCTCTCAATGTAAATGTTCACAGCCAGGACGCCCACCGTCTCGGCCACGATGAAAGACAGTGCTCCGAAGTAAAAGGACCAGCCGTAGTTGTAGTGGTTCTTCTTGTCCTCGTCACGCTTCTCGCTGGGGTCGCCCGTGTTGCTGGAGATGTAGACGATGATGCCGATGATGTTGCTGAGGCCTGGAGGGCGGTGGGGAGAGAGGCAGAGAGGTCAGACAGGCTGCGCCAGCCCCTCGCGGGCCGGCTGAGTGCTGGTGGCTGACTTTTACTTTCATTTTTTTTTTTTTTAAAGATTTTACTGAGGCGTACAGAACTGGGGTACAGGCCAGAGGTGTGGAGGTGAGAGGATTCACCAGAGACAGCGTGGGGAGCAGAACAGACGCATCAGCTGAAATCCACTGCTGAGGGGAGCAGCGGGGGGCAGGCGCGGTGTGCTGAGCCCTGGGGGGTCACCCCCTGGCCAGATTGAACTCAGGCTGCAGCAGTGATAATGCCGAGACTTAAACCCTAGGCCACCAGGGAGGCCCTTTCTCTTAAAAAAAAAATCATTTAGTTACTTATTTGAGAAATATCTGGCTATCGGCGCCACACACACTCACACACACACACACACACACACTCACACATACTCACACACACACAGACACTCACACTCACACACACACTCACACACACACACTCACGCACACACACACTCACACACACACACACCAGGCATCTGGCTTTTCCTTGCTCAGGGCTCTCTGGCCTCTTCCCTTTCCATGGAACAGCACACCAGAGAAAGTTCTACACCAGGAGTCGGGGCCTCTCCCAGGACATACTCTTAACTACCCGCTGGACAATCCCTGGCTCAGCTGGGGTCGCCCCTAAGTCCCCTTTCTGTGCAGGATCTGGCCAGAGCATCCCACGGCATGTAGCACTTTAAATTCGGAGTCCTGGGCCCTCCCTGGTGGCACAACTGGTTAAAGCGCAGCACCATGAAGCTACTGCAGCCACTGCAGCACGAGTTCGATCCCCGGCCAGGGAGTGACCCACAGGGCCCAGCAGACCTCTCCCGCCCCGCCCGCTGCTCCCCTCAGCAGTGTGTTTCAGTCAGTCGCCTTGTTCTGCTCCCCACTCTGTCTCTGATGAATCCTCTCACCACCCCAGCACCTCTGGCCTGTACCCCAGTTCTGTATGCACAATAAATAAATCTTTAAAAGAAAAACTCAGAGTCCCCCCCAGATGACCTCGGTCCCTGGAGGCTCAGAAGCCCAGCACTGTCCCCGCACTGTCACGGCCAGGGTGACCACCCCTGTGGCCCTTGTCGGTCCTCGGGGCAGAGGCCTGGTCCTTGAGGTCTCGTTTGATTCTCTCTCCTCATGAGTGGGGCCGAACAGAGCCAAACTGCGTGGGTTTGAGCTACCAACTCTCAGCTGTGGAACTTGGGGTACCTGTGCACCTTCAGGCAGGTGTGCTCCTCCAGGGCAGGCGGAGGGCTCAGGGAGCTAATCTATACAAAGGCCTTCACGGCGCCGGGCACAGACGGGGCTCCCTTCTGCCCCCCGGGCCGAGTCCTGCTGTCTGCTCACAGGTGCTTCTCTGGCCTCGGACCGCAGCGCGGCTGGGTGAGAAGTCTCCTGCCCGGGGAACAGTGGCTGCGCCCCAGCAAACCTGTTGTGGGCTCCGGCTCCAAGCCCCTCCTGCAGTGTTCCAGAAGGTGCCTCGCCAACACGGCTTTTCACGTGGACGCTCTGGCTCCTTTCTGCCCCTTACAGCGCTTCTCAAGCTGCCTCCCGTGACCTACGTCTCCCCGAGAGTGGCGGTGCCCCCCTCTGGCCCCAGCCCGCCCACCGAGCCCGTGTGCCGCCGGGCATGCTCCACCTAGGCGCTATGGGTCCGTCTCACGCCGCTGGGGCCGCAGCTCCTGGACCGGGCAGCGTGTGCGCTGTGAGTTGGGCCTGCCCCCTCCAGGGCCTCTGAGGCCCACGCCGGGGACCCAGCAAGCGCTGCTCCCTGCTCCCCAGCCTCCGTCGGCTGCACCCATTTTCTCTGGCTCAGCATCTCCTGGCCCAGACTCCACAGTCCCCGGGGGACTGAGCATCTGATCTGCCTTTGTTCCTCCTGGGGGAGCAGGCAGCTGCAGGGGTGCTGGCTTTGGGGGCTGAGAACCCTGGGTGCAGGCCCTGTGTTTGCCCCCCATTTCCTTCAAGGGAGTCAGCGGGGATTTGCGCTTCTTGATAAGGAGACCCTCAATGCAGGTGTCCCTTTGCCCACAGACACACAGACAGCAACACCCCCTCAAGGGTCTCCCCCTACACACACACACACACACACACACACACGCAGCCTCCTGTGCTTGGAGAAAAGTAAAGTGAGAACTGAACTGGCCAGGAAGAAAGGGCGCAAGGACTGGAAGCGGGAGGGCCGGGCGCCAGGAGCCTTGCTGGGAGATTTGGAGCCAGTCACCAACTAGCCTGGCCCTCCACTCCCTGCTGTAAACACAAGTCTCTTCCCTGCCAAGAGGAACCGAGAGGAGAAGCCAGGGAGGGACCGAGGCCCGCCCTGGGGTGCTGGCCCCTCCCCGCCCCCGCCCAGGAGGCAGGACCACCCGGCCCGGCCCTGGGAGCCCCAGAGTCCCCACCACCGCCACCAGGGAGCTCCAGGATCCAGACACAAAGCCAGCACCCAGGGCGCAGGCCAGTCCTGCTCAGCCCCTGGCCCCTCCCCGCCCAGCTCTCAGAAGCAAAGGCAGTTTCAGGGCTGCGGGCCGTGATGAGAACTCAGGAAGGAATCGCTGGTGCTGGTTACTGGGGCGAGGCCTGAGAAGTCAGGCAGCCCCTGCTTCTCCCAACGACAGGGCTGACCCCCTCTGAACCCCCCGGAGCTGCTGCGAGCCTGCAGGAGGCTCTGAGAGCTGCCCTCGCCCCGAGTTTCCCCACTTGGCAGGGCTCAGCGGAGAGGTGTGCACACCCACAGCCCTCAGCCTGCAGCTCTGTGGCCGCTCAGCCAGGAGCCTCGGGCAGAGAGGCCTGGGGGCGCCTGCTGCTTCTGGACCCGGCCCGCTTTCTCCTGGCTCCCTTCCCCAGCTCTCGGCTCCCAGGCCCCTGGGTACCTCCTGGACCCCAACTCAGCCAGGCTGCCCTGCGATAACAGGATCGTGGCACGGGCACTCCCCGACTTACTGAGTTTTCCCTGGAGGTGAAGTCACAGCACATAAAACACGCCTTGACACACAGCTCAGTGATGTGCTTTGTGCAGCCACCTCCTCCCATTCCAGGACACGTTCATGGCACCCCAGGGGGCCCCGTGCCCGAGAAGCAGTTGCACCCCTCTCCTGGCACACCCGGGCTTTGGGAGCGAACCCCCAGGGGATGTTTGCACCCCCCCATCGCCCCCCAGGAGGCAGGCCGGCCTCACCTGCAGCCACAAAAAGGATGCCCGCGCTGAGCACGATGTTGTTCTTGCGGCTGTAGAACCTCCCGGCCGCGATGCAAAGCCCGCCAAGCAGCAGCAGGATGGTGCTGAGGATGGGGAAGACGCTGGAGGCGCGGACGACGCCTGGCCGGGCAGGGGACAGAGCACACAGGCGTGAGGCCGCGCGCCCCGAAGCTCCAGGCCCTCCCCCGACGGGAGACTCCTTCAGGGCCCAGAAGACTCGGGTGGGTGGGGTGTGGGGGCGGCTGGGGTGGCCACCCCAGATGCCAGTGACAGCTGGCTACGGCTCCTCTCCTGTAGCCTGGGCCCACCTCGGGTCTCCTTGGTGTGGGTCCCGCTGTGCCAGCTGGGGAGGGAGGAGAGGACCCCTCTGTAGCGCCAGGGAGGGCGCCGCTCACGAAAGCGCTGGCTGGCCCCCATTTGGGGGGCACCTCCGCTCCTCGACGAAGTCACCTGCAAGACTGGCCCCCAGGAAGAGCGGCCGGGAGCCGCAGCGCTGCGGGGTGGCTGAGGTGGGCGCAGGCGGGCGTGTGGGGTGACAGCTCACTTGCTGTGGGACACTCTGGCTGTGTGGCCTTGGTCCGGCCACAGCACCGCTCTCAAACTCAGTTTCCCCAACCCGGGCACCTGGTAGACCTACACCCCACAGTTTTGGTTTTGTACATACAAGGGACTTAGCATGCACTTCCCAAGTGGCACCTTGATCTTGGCTGCCATCACCGCCAGGTGACTGAGGACTGGGGTCTCAGGACCGCCAGAGAGCACGGAGGAGGAGACGGCAGGCAGGCTTGGTGGGGGGTCACCAAGGGCTGTGGTGTGGAACGTTAGGTCTGTACCCTCCCTGCCTGTTGGAAACAGAAGTCTGGGGGGAGGGGGGGTCAGGGCAGCTAACTCTTGACCACCCCAGTAATCCATTATAACCTGGGCGAGCACTAAAGCTACCTGGAGGGGGTTGATTGTGGCCCCCAAAAGTTTTGTCCAGGTTGTAACCACCTGGGGTGGGACCTCATTGGGGAAAAAGGCCTTTGCAGGTGTGATGAAGTTAAGGATCTTGAGGTGACACCATCCTAGACCAGGTGGGCCCTACATCCAAGGGCAGCTGTCCCTAGAGGAAGAGGACAGATGTAGGCAGAACAGGAGACCCACAGGGGCCAGGGTGGAGACGGGCACTGGACACAGGGGGCAGGCCCGAGGCAGGGTGGACTGGAGCCGTCTGCAGCGGGGAGGGGGGCAGGGAGCCCCCCGACACTCCGAGGGAGACTGCGCCATGGCCTCCTGGCCCAATGGGAGTCCTACCCCGTCGGCCCGGCAGGGGACAGTGGGACAGGGAGTCTGGCAGGAGCCAGCCTCCTGCGCCAGCTGGGCGGGCCTGGGCCCCCAGCCTCTGAAGGCGGCGTTTGTCTCCGTTTTGTAAGCCCCCCAGTGTGCGCCCTGCTCCACAGAGCGGGGATTGTGTGGCGGCACTAAATGAAGCTCTTCTCTGCGCTGCTCCCACCCCTGCCTTCTTGCAGTCGCAGCCCTGGGAGGCCTTTCCCGGTGGCTCCTGGAATGCGCCTCTGAGCTGTGCTGGCCAGAAAAGTGGGCTTCTGCTCCGCTTCGAGGTTCTCCTTCTGCAGATGGGCCGGGGGGCCGGGGAGAGGGGAGCCGGTGCCGCACCCGAGGTTAGGCCTGGCTCCGCCATCTGCCCTGCCCAGGTGAGCCCAGCCAGCACCTACCCTCTGCCTGTGAGCTCGCGCGGCACCAGGCCGTGGCAGCTGGGCCTTGCACAGGCTCACGGACAAGCGGAGTCCGTATCCCTGGGGCGCTGGAGCCCCTGTGAGGACCCTGTTCTGCCTGGAGGACGGGCGCCCCCTTGTAACTCATCCTCCAGTGCACGGAGGACTCCCCGCCGCCCTGAGGCCAGCACTGTGAGGCTCAGCACAGAAATCAGCCACCTAAGCGGAAATACGGAACCTGGGGAAGGGGTGTCAGGCCCAGGCCGGGACGGGCCCGGGGCCAGCGCGCCGGGTGGGAGAGAGACAGGCAGTGTGGGGGTGGCTTCTCCAGGGGTGGGGTCACCTGAGTCTGGGTTCTCTGGGAGGTTCTCGCAGGCCCCCGGGGCGCTGGCTTTGTTCGTGAATTGGTGAAGGACGAGAAGCAGAGTCTTGGCCCTGCTGGGGCTGCCGGGCCTGAGAGCTGCAGCTCTCCCACTGTGAGGCCTTCTGAGACCTTCTCCCATCTATCCCCTTCTCCGGCACGTCCCCTTCTCCACTGGAACACCAGCCCCAGGAGCACAGAGCTCTGCTTTGTTTGCTGCTGCTTCCCGTGAGCCTACGGAGGTGCCTGGCACATGTGTCCAGTAGGTCTGAAATGGTGACTGACTCAGGAGCCACGGTCTCCTACAAGATCAGCCCCAGAGCTCTCGCTCCTAAGCTTTGACATATTTGGGGATCAGTAGTTGGGACAGAGCCCAGGGAGCTGGAAACTGAGCATCAGGACGGCTTAGAGATGTGGGCCAGAGGTCGTGGTGGCCGTGACCTTCGCCTGCAAGACCGGACACATGGAGTCCTCGGGCTACGGGCCGCAGGCAGCCATTTTCCCTGGCTTCCTTCCTGCAGGCTGGGGGGCGCTGCATTCCTGCACAACACTTCAGCACCTGTTCTCCCATGTCTCCTCCTTCAGGTTTCCATCCCTGACTCCTTCACCTGCTTGGGCCCAGGCGCCTAAGGGCTCCTGCTGTTGCTATGTCGCACGCTCAGCCCTCTGCAGTTCTCCCTCCCTGTCTGCCCGGGAAACAGTCCTTCACTAGATACATTCGCTTCTTGGGAGCCTTTCTGGTAGGACCTCAGGAAGCCACAGCAGCTGACCTCCGTGCTGAGGCATCATCCACCCAGGCCCACCCAGACAGGGACTGCAGGGCTCTGGGGACCACGAGGGGGTCAAGCGCAAAGGAGCAGACAGGGACGGCCAGGGCTAGTGCCATCCAGCTGGGCTGAGCACCAGGGGTGGCCGTGGTTGGCTGTGTCCTCCCGCCTGTTTTTTCTGCTTTCTGGGGACCATGTTGAAGCAAGCAAATGACAGTCCCTAGGATGGCAGCAGACAGGTGCTCAGGTTGTGCACTGCCCATCTGGAGAGCTGCCACTGCTGGTGAGAACGGCAGCCTTGGAGTTTTTCAGTGCGTGGCCGGCACAGCTGTCCATGGCCACCCCTGGTGCTCGCCCTGGGTCTCCAGAGCCCTGCAGTCACTTTCTGGGAGGACCTCACGATGTCTCAGCTGCTGCGTGTGGGGGTGAGGGGGGCGGGGTGGGTGGTAGATCAGCCCAAATTATTTCAGACTCTGGGCCTGGCCGGAGCAGCCGACAGCCCCGACTTCGTGGGCACCACACGCTGCTGCTTCACTAGATGACTCAGAATCCAAATCCTTTCTCTCAGGAAAAAAAAAAAAAAAGACAACCAAAAACAACGATCCATGAGCAGGTGCAGAGTGAATTGTGCTCCCTTGGAGGACACAGGTATCGATTCTCCACAAATGAAGCTGGCCGAGCCCCTGGGGGCGCTGCTCTGAACAGCGCTGTGGGTCTCGGCTAACAGAGCAAAAGACTTCAAAATGGTGCTGCTTTTCCACTTCCAGGCTCCTTCCAGGCTGTGGCTCCATCCATCACCCCCGGGAGGTATTCACAGGCCCAGAGATGAAATCTGGATTTAGGGTACAGGACTGGGCTTGTTCTTGGGGGCGCAGTATGTGCTGTGCCTTCCAGGCTCCAGTCTGGGGGTGCAGGCTCAAGGCCCGGGCAGAGGCCTGGGCAGGCACTCAAGGGCTGCTCAGAGGCAGGCCCCCGGGGCTGCTGGAAACAGCCCGCGGCTCAGAGCCTCTCCCCACCACCTCTCCCCCCACCCCCCAGGCTGCCTGGCACCCCAGAGGCTGTCTCAGTGTGTGACTTACTGCGCTTTTTCATGACTAGAATTCTGAGTGTGTGGGGAGAGAGAGCACAGGCGGGCAGGGCACGGCACTTGGGGGCCACAGCCCCCCAGATGCTCAGTCTCCCCCTAGCCTGGGTCTACCAGCCAAGACACTCCTCTGGGGAACCCAGCTGCTGAACCCCCAACTCCGTCTTTGGAGCGAACGATTTCTGAGTCAGAGGGGAGCGTCAACAGCACCCTCAGCAATGCAACCCCCTCTCCCATGGGCCCGTCTTGCCTCCAGCGGCTTCCCGCGCCCCGTCCACACACAGAGGAAGTCAAGGACGTGACACTCACGAAGGAGATACTCGGAGCTGTCGTGGTCGTAATCATTGTCCTCCGGGAAGTGATTGATCCGGAAGCAGTGCCCTTTATAGATCCCTGGAGGAACAAGAGGAAAGCGCCATGTCACCGTCCCACGGGATCAGGCAGGGTCTGGCCTTGCTCTCCCGACCTGCTCACTGTGCACGTGCCCCTGGCCCGGCGCCCGGCCCCAGGGGCGCCCGGGTCTGCTGCAGGTAGCGCTGGCCAGGTGAGGAGCCCCGCGCGGGAAGCATCCCGAAGGCCTCACCACCCATTTCTGCAAGCGGCGTCAGGCAGGACCGCCCTGGACAAGCAGGAGTTATGGTTCCCTACCTCACAGGCTGCAGAGAGGCCTCCGGAGGGAAGACACAGAATTTGCGGCTGGGAATGGCGTAGGGGCGGAGGAGGATGAGAGGAGGCAGGGCTGGGTGGGAGGCTGGTGAGTTTGGGGAGCGGCAGGGAGTTCGGCGTGGATGGAGCTTCACAGAACCTGGGCGGGCAGAGGCTGGGGCAGGTGTAGGCGGCGCGGCCATGGGCCAGGCCTATCGGGTGCCATCTGCCATCTTTACTGTCCTCCTTGCTCCCTCGAACCCTCAGCCATATGAATCCTTCCTTATAGGCGACTCTGCACATAGTTACCCACAAGACTCCCCCCCTCCCCCAATCAATGCGATGAAATTTCAAAAAGAACATGCAACAAGTGAAATTTCCAGAAAGGCAAGCTCCTGCCCGGCTTCCCCTGCCCACTCTGAGAAGTAACATGGGGTAGAAGGCAGGACCCCATGTGCAGTTTAGTAACTGCAGGTTATAGGTGAAAGGCCAGTCCTTCTAGAATCTTCCATTCAGCTCTCTCAGCCCCTGCTTCCTGCAGGTTGGGAATGCCCATCACAGAACTGGGCCCGGCCGACGCCCTCCCGCCTGGGTCAGCCTCTGAGCTCCTGGAATATCAGGGTGACTCCCTTCCAAGGCCTGGGCTGGGACTGTGGCCAACTGGGGCCGCCACTGTCCTGCAACTGTCACTGCCAATGTCCTGCTGGCTTCCCACAGCCCAGCCCAGCATGCTGCTTGGAAACACAGTAGGGAGCACGCCCCAGTCAGACCAGCCTCCTCTCAGTCGGCCTGCGGGGAGGTCTCAGACGACAGGCACACTGCCCTTTCACTGAGGGCAGTGCAGCTCCTTAGTGGTGCTGCCAAAGAGCTGGGGTACTCGGTAAGGACCCCTCTTCCTCCCAACTTTGAGGGCCTGGGGTGTGGGCTAGGCTTGGCAGGGGTGGAAGGAGACAGAGGGGGTATCTCAGGGAGCCCTGGAGAGTAGGGTTCCTCATCTGTAGAATGGGGGCTCCACAGCCCCTATCTCCTAGGGGTCCTGGGAGGATCCCCAGGTTAGTAACTGAGAGGCACTTAGGTGGTTCTTGGGCCACTGGTTCAGGGGAGTTTTCTGCTTATGAACCCAGACATTACCCACCCTCCTCTCCAGGGGTCCCTGCTCTTTCCTGAGTAGCTGCATGGGTGGAGAACCATAGATGCTGTGAGGACAGAGTGCAGAACTCTGGGGGAAGGCAGGGGGCAGCCACCCTGCCACCTCACTCCAGTATCCCACACCCCAGATACAGGATGCTCTTGGAAATCCACAAGTATTTTTCCAAATGTGGGTGGGCTAAGCAGAGTTCCCTGTCATTTGCTTTTGTTCTTTTATGGGTCTAAACAGAATTGCCAAGTCACACGTGCTTTTGGGATTAAGTCAAACGATAAGAGGTTGAAAAAGGAAAAATAAATATTCTGTCTCCAGACTCATTTCCAGAGGTCAACAGTTTGCTGTGAATCTTCCTGCACCTTCCTCTGTGGCCACTCCTACACCAGCATGAGTGTCCCCCATTTTTTAAAATTAAACTTTTACTTGGAGCTGCTTGTGGGCTCTTACAGGCAGTTGTACAGAGTGATGCCTGCACCCTTTGCCCGGCGGTTCCAAGAGTAACATCCAGCAAGACTAGAGAATGTCACCGCCAGGATGCTGCCTCTGCAAGTTGGGGTGAGGCTCCCCCAGCTCAGGAGACCCCTTCAGAGTCACACCACCGCCCTCCTGTCCTGGCCCCGTGACCCACAGCAGCCACTAAGATGCTCTCTGTGGCTCAGCCCTCCCTGATGGTGCAATGGGTTAAAGCACTATGAAGCTCTCTGCAGCCACTGCAGCACGAGTTCAATCCCTGGCCAGAGAGCTGACCCACAGGGCGCAGCAGGCCTACCCTGACCTACCTGCTGCTCCCCTCAGCAGTGCAGTTCAGTAGATCTGCCTGTTCTGCTCCCCACTTTGTCTCTGGTGAATCCTCTCACCCACCCCGCACCTCTGGCCTGTACTCCAGTTCTTGTATGCATAAATTTAAAAAATCTTTAAAAAATAAAAGATGCTCCCTGTTGGTATAGTTTTGTGAACTTAAGAACATTCTACATGTGGCTCATATCAGAGACAGAGCGGGGAGCAGAACAGGCAGACTGATGAAGTACACTGCTGAAGGGAGCAGCGGGTGGGACAGGAGAGGTCTGCTGTGCCATGTGGGTCACCTCCAGGGTGGGGATCGAACTCAGGCTGAAGCAGCTGTGGCCAGCTTCGCAGTGCTGTGCTTTGACCTGATATACTACCAGGGAGGGCCAAATTTAGTTTTAGAAGAGACGTTCAAAGTAATCACAAGGATGGCTAGGTTCCTTTTTTTTTTTTTTTTTTTATGGAATTACCAAGACAATTTATTCTGGGGTCTTTTAATGTACAGAAGAGGCCCAAACATCTCTCCAGGTCAATACCTAGAGATTAAAAAAAAACCCTTTTGTTTCTTTTTAATACCAAATAATAATCATATACTAATCCAGAAGTTGCTAAACTCCTGGAAGGAACCGACACAGGAGCTAGAGGAGAAAAGCTTGCTTCAGTACTGAGCACACAGAAGAAAAACAGGCTTTGGTGGAAATGAAAAAAAAAAAAAAAAAACCATGCATTTGTAAATTCAGTCGGATCAAAGAACTCAGGTCTTGAAACAGTAGCCCGCAGGCAGGCAGGCGGCTTGCTCCGATAGATTTTGCTAACCTCCCCTCTGTAATTAGGGTGCTGTTTTTTATTTGATAAAACGAAACAGAAGCCACACTGCCTGACGTGTCTGTTTCTCGCCTGCCTTTATAAAAGGAGGCAAATACAGACGCAGACACACAGGGGGTGAAGGCCCTGGGGAGTCAGGCGAGACCGCAGCTAGGTGCTGCCAGCAAACCCCAGGCCAGGGAGGGCAAGGAGGTGTTACTCAGAGTGGGCATGGCTCTTCTGACTTGACTTCTGCCTTTATAATTGTAGGACAATAAGTGTCTGCTCTTCTGAGTCACACGGTTGGTGCCAATTTTATAGGCAGCCCCAGGAAACAGACACAGGTTTGTTGCTATGTGAGAAAAGCAACGTAACTTCATTGCGTCCAGGCTTGCAGGAGGGTAAACAGATGCAACAGGCCTTCCTGCACTGGCTTGGAGACCAGATTCAGTCATGGCGTCAGCTTTCTGGACAAGGCTTGTTGAGGCGGCTGCAAAAGTATCCGGCCACCCCGAGGCTCCCAAAGCCACTACCCCGGGCACCTGTTGCAGGTCCCATAGGGGCCCAGATCCTTTTCCGGGTGCCACTTGTCTGGGGACCTCCCTTGCTCCCAAGACATTCCATTTTCAAAGAGCTTTACCCCGAAGTCCCTGAAAGCTCATCCACAGATGTGGCTTACAGTCCCTGCGAATAAAAGAATCTCCTTACACTGTTTACTCTCCAAGTCACGGAAGGTAGAATCATGTCTAGAGGGACAGATGCATGAGCCACTTTTCCAGCTGTCCAGGACCCAAAGGGCAAGAGGTGGACCAAGGCCGGGCCCAGACTCGTCCTCCCGCCAGACCTTAATATCGGCGGGAAGTCTGATTCCATCCCCTCCACCTTACCCCATCCCAGCCTAAAGAAAGGCTAAACTGTGGAGGAAGGACAGAGTTGTCTTTGACACGAGAATTGGGGGATTTCCCAGAAATGTATGTCCTTTCCAGGTCTGACTCGGTCAGCTCCCTCAGCCATTTCTTTATGTTCACGAGGCTCCTCCAGCCCAGCTCCCTCCTTGGGTCAGCTCCCTGTTTTGGGTTTCCAGAAGTACTGATTTGACACCCAACCCAGCACTCCAGGCTGTTCTGGCCAGTCCAGAGCCCTGCAGCCCTGCTGCCTCCTCTTTTCCGGACCTCTGCTTCTGTTAATAGGATCTTGCCATCTTGTTGGCTCATCTCCTAGGATTTTTGTCACAAGAGCTGCTTCACCCTACCCCTCCCCCCCAACCTGTTTTTATGGAGTGTTGAGTCCTCAGGGCTTCACATTTATTCCTGCCAAATTTAATTTTGTTAGCAGTGGCCTAAGGCATTTAATAGGGAGAAAATTAATGGTTGATGTGAGAAGTAGGAGAGAAAGCCATTTTCAGTCCACTTCACATGTGTTCTGGGTGCTGTGATAAATTGTTATTTGCTTTGTTATCTATTAAGCAATATTTGAGGTGGTTAATTTTGAGCTCGCTGACTGGCCACATGGCAGGAATAATGAAGTGCTCTTGGGGTCACTGGCCTTTACCCCCCAGAGACAGGGTGACCCTCTCTCTCCTTCCTAAGGGTCAGGAATCCACTGGTGTGAGGAGGCTCTGGAAGTCTCAGCTTCATCTAGAAAACCTCAGAACTGGGTCACAGGGAGCTGCCCCTGCGCTGAGATTCTAAGAGCGTTTTGTGCAGAAAAGAGTTGCGAGTGTGAGCAAATAGCCTGTCCATTCATCTCCATATACAACAACCACTTTTGTCAACGGTATTTCTATAGGCGTTGGAAACATCTGGAAAGAAAGAACCTGAAATGTGTCCAGTGTTTGATTACTGGGTGATAGGGCTTAGGAATGAATTACATTTTTTTTTGTTACATTTTCCCTGTATTCTCTGAACATTCTCAATCCTCAAAAATGAATGAATCGGATTTACTGAAAGAAACCAGAATCTTTGATTCAAGTGAAATAAAGATACACGGAAGCTGTGGTTATTGCAATAATAAC